CGTCCGGGGCAGCCACATTGGCCCATCCAGTGCCTGGATGCCAGGGCCAGGCCCTGTTGACACACATTGTTTGATCGCAGGAGTTATGACCTGCTCTGTGTCTGTCCTGGGCCAGTTCACCCCTCCTTAGGCAACCTGGTGGTTCCCCACTCCCAGAAGGTCACCATATTGATGCCAAATTTAGTGCGGACATCTGATTGGCAAAGATCACTACAGCCTAGAACTCCTGCACTCAAGCAATCTTCCCACCTCAGTCTCCCAAGAAGCTGGGACCACAGGGACCTGCCACAGCCCAGCATGCATATTTTGGCTGGTATAGACAGTACAACACGGTTTCTCTGCCTACAAATTTCTATCTGTTCTTTCCAAGTACTGAAATGAGCAGAATGAAACAGAAATAAAGCTGTAGATCTCAATTCCCTGGAGGTGGGTCAGGACATTTTACAGAGTTAGATAAACAAAGATTGAGGCCAACTGATTGGCAAGGGGGCAGCAAAACAGTAAACTATGAAGTCACAGCTTACTCTGAGTATTTGATATCAGCTTATCTGCTAACCAACGGGTGACACACTATATAAACTCACTAGAGATCAGGAGAAATGCAGCCAAGATGTTACAGAATGTTTCCACCAAGTCAGTCAGAGACTGTGACCTACACACAGACTGTGTACGTTCAACAGTACCGACACTTACTTCTCTTTCTGTGGCCCAACATGTTGAAAGTTTTCTAATCCAATGGTGTCATCCAGAACAAAAGGAGTCTCAAGTTTGCTAGTCATGCTGGGACTTAAGATCCTGTTTGTCTGTGGATCCCGCAGAGGTGTCTGAAAAGTCACCTGTTAGGGAGAGAGGAACGTACTGTTTGCCAATTCAAATTGTTACAACCATGTCAGCTGTTCAACCTAGTCACCAGAAAAGTAGGCCCCAGGGTAACCTGACAAGCTACACACAGTAGAGTTCACACTTACCTTCATTGCTTTGGCTAGATTCTTAGGTGGCACATTTTCTTTCTGTGACAGACAAAGGACAGACGATCTTCCGGTAAGTCCTGGTGGTGAAAACAGGAAGTCACAGTTTTCTGTACTTTCTTCACTGGTGACATCTTTGTCATTTAAGATCTGCAGACTCATTCTAGTAAAGCAGAATATCTTTGTGTCAGCATGAGGGAAATGATACTGCATTGTTTCAACAGACATGACCCAGGGACAGAGCTTCTCCAAAGTGTGCTGGGAGGATGTCTCCCCACCCCTCCTGCACAGGTGTGGTTAGCACCTTGCAGCTCACCTCACACAGGTGTCCTTTGTCAAGCAAGGCAGAGAAAACCTGAGTGAGTCCCTGTCTCACTTCAGGGGCCTCTGACTCTCCAGCCCAGCAGGGGGAGCTTCAGGCAGCCCTGCCAACTCCTGGGACCAAGAGCTAAAAGAGCCTTCAGCCTGAGACAAGGGAAAAAACCAAGTCTTCATAACAACTCCTACTGTTGGATTATTCTGTTTGGTAAAACTTAGGAAACAGGAAAGTCCTGGCCTGCTGGAAAACCAGAAGAGCCAGAGGAAGCCTGAGTCTCCCTACATGCCTCTGCCTGAGGTATAAGGCACGAGAGGGCAGCTGAGGACAGGACAGGGGCTCTGGTTTGCACTCCCTCCCACTGGGCCAGAGAGTGGGGACCAGGCCAGGGTGTTGAGAGGGTTGAGGCCTGGATGAGGAGCTGAGAAGAGAAGGGAGGGGGAGATCTAGAATTCCTTGGTGGGTGTCCGGAAACAACTATATCAGGGCCTCCAGTCAAGCCCAGAGGTTCTAGAAGGGCTCCATTCCTACTTCTCAGGTCTTCACACTGGTCGTGGACACATTTTTCCACCCTTTCCATCCACAATATTCCAGATCTAGGAGTTGCTAGAGAACCGGTGCCAACCTGCCTAGAGGGATATCACGGGCACCTGGTGGTGAGGGTGCTGGGGGGCTTTGAAGAGTGAGACTGGGGGGTCAGAAGTGGCCTGAAAAGCTCGCTAGAGTGCTATGTGTGCGTGGACAGCGAAGGGCAGGAGGCAAGTGGGGAAACCAGGGGATCATGCACTGTGGGGAGGAGGCCAGACCCTGGCTTGGCTAGTGGGTCCAGGTGGGACTTGTGGAGCTAGGAAAAGCAAACAGAAGTCAAGGGCAAGGCTGAAGTTTTCAGCTTGGACAACGGAGTAAAGGGCCAGGGAGGAGTTGCTGGATTGCCCTGGGATGCACAAACCTAGAACTGGGCAGATGGCGACAGAGAAAACCTTTCTGGCAGTCCCTGGCTTGAAATAAGGCGGGAGAACAGCGAGCCCTTTGGCAGGTGGGGCTTTTGTTGTTGCTGCGCGGGGCCGGGGAGGGGGCTCTTGATCAGAAGCGACAGCTGGGCTTGGTTTCTGGCCGCTCTGCGGCGTGGGTCAGGGTCCAGGTTTCTGTGGCAGGTTCCACAGCTGGAGTTGGCCCCAGAAGCAACGCTAGAGGAGATCAACGCGCAAGAGGCACCGCGAGAAGAGGGAATGGGAGTGAGACGGGAACGAACCTCGGACCAGGAGCGCGGAGCTTCAGGAGAGAGAACGGACTTAGCTTGCCCGCAGACAACGGCTCAGCCCGGCCACTGCCCAGGGCCACTCAGCACCCGAGGGCCCGCCGACGGGAGCAGGTGGCGCCGGCAGAGGAGACGCTTCCGGGGAAGTGGCGGCCAGGGGGAACCCCAAAGACTGAGCCAGCGGCGGCCTGCCTACCTGCTCGCCGCTGCCAGGGCTCTGAGCCCGCGCCGCCGCTGTGAAGAATCGCCGCTCAGCGGGGGCGGAGTAGCGGCAGCCCAGTCGGGTCACTGCAGTCGCGCCCGCGGATTCAAATGCAGAAGTTTGGGTTGGCGAGGCCAATCAGAGTGCCAGCGGGGGTGGGCTCGCCAATAAGAAGAGTTCCTGCGTCAGCCCCGCCCCCTCCCGCTCTTGCGATTCCTCTTCCGGGTCGGTGGACTGCAAGATGTGGCGGTCGAGGCGAAGACCATACGCTCCCGGGGGACAACCTCTGCCTGCGGTGGGCCGGGTTCGCCAGATCGCTCCCGTTCCGGGGATCTCGGCCTCTGTCGCGGAGGCGACTGGGCTGCGTGGCATGGCCGGAGCCTGAGAGCCGCTGGCGTGCGCTAAGTTTTGCCAACTGTAAAATTGGACCAGATGCAGCGCCACCAACAGGACCGCCAGTGAGGAGGGTCCGCACCCTCATGGGCACTATTGCGGCGACTCACGGCTTTTGATCCTGCGCTGGGCGCAGAGGCTCCATTTCTTAGTGTCCCCTTGCGGCCGGGCAGGGGGACTCCATTTCTTAGAGTGTAACACGGAGGGCATAAATGAGGGGCGACGGAAACTACATCTTCCAGAGTGCCCCGCGGGCAGTTAGCCGGCAGTGCGCGGACTTCAGCTCCCAGGGTGCCCCGCCGGCGGCGTGTGGGGGTGGTGGTCGGACTCCATTTCACAAAATGACCCGCGGGTGGCGTGACGTTGGCTGGGTCGGATCGGACTCCATCTCCCACTGTCCCCTGGGGCCGGGGGTCGGGACTCCATTTCCCGGAATGTCCTGCGGGCGGCATGAGTGGGCCTCCGGGGGAGACTCCATCTCCCAGAGTGCCACGCGGCGAATGGGCGGGGCGGCAACATCAGAACGGCCTGGGACCGACCCTTTTGCCGGTCGCCAGCGCCCAGACGCTGGGCATCGCTGGACGACCTCCTGGCGACGGTGCCATGGACTGCCCTGAGGTGATTTTCACGCTGGCCTACCTGGTTGTCGCCGTGTGCTTCGTATTCATGCCCGACGAGTTCTCGGCCGGGATCACCGTGCAGAACCTGCTGTCCAGCTGGCTGGCCAGCGAGGATCCCGCCTTCGTGCCTTTCCAACGTGCCCCGCGAAGCCGTAACGCTGCTAGGGCACTCGCTGCTGCCGATCGGTGAGGCGCTGCCCACTAGCTCCCATCCCAGGATGAGGATGCGAAAGTTCTGTGAGTGTAGCTGCGGGAGCCTGGGGCGTTGGTGTGGGTGCAGGGGGTCCGGTGGGTGATGCTGCCCTGACTGGGCCTCGGTCTCCCGTTCGGCATTGACCTCGAGGGCTGCTGTGAGCACTCTTGGGGTGGGGACTGGCGGCCTGCTTGCCTCCCAGGAGGGGCTGCTCACTACAGCCCCCTAGCCCCAAGTGCTACCTGTGGGTTGTGCAGGGTGGCTCGGACTGCAAACCTCCATCTGCTCCCCTATTTCTGCACTGGGTCCCTGGACATCTGGCCCCTCCATAAAAATAGAGCTCAGGGGACCTAAGGTGCTGCCAAGGTCACATGACAGGTCTGAGGCCAGAGCTTCTGCAGGAGCTGAGGGGGCATGGGGTGGAGGGGGTGCAATGGCTCTGAGAACCTCTGGGGGGCTGAATGGGAGGACAGGACCACAGGCAGGCAGTCGGGGTTGCCCCAAGCAGTCAGGGACTGAAGGCGACCCAACCTGCATCCTGAGCCTTCCAGCCCCGGACGTGGCCACCCCCATCACTGGCACCCAGCCGCCTCTCCGCCCACACGCCCACTTTAGAGGTGGGGAAACCGAGGCAGGCAGAGCCCATGCTGCCCTGAACATGAAGGAATGAGCGGATTACTGGGGTCTTGAGGGCCTCATACCCCAGTTCTGCTGCCTGTGAAGGGCTCTGAGTTCCCTCCAGCTTTTCAGCCACATCTCTGTGAGGGACTGGGGGGCTTCCAATCTGGGAGGAGGGCAGTTTCCCACGCCCCAGGCAACGTGCCAGGCCAGGGTTCAGTTCCTGCTGCAGGGTTGGGAAACGGGAAAGTCACAAATGCATAGGGGAAGTGATGGCAGGCGAGGTGCGGGCTGTTCCAAGCTGGGGTCCAGCCACCACACCCCCCAGGCCTCCATCTCACCCAGTGCCTCTGGCAGGGGACAGGCAGACAGGTTGCCTGGGTAGGGGCGTCCTGGACCTGGGACCCGTTGACCCTGTCTCTTTGGAGATGAGATTTTCACTTTCTTTCCAGAGTCTCCTGGGGTCAGCAACAGGGGCAGCTGGAAGGCCGGGAGGGGCCCGGTGGCGGTCGGTGGGCCCAGTGTGAGGGCCCGACAGGGTTAATGAGCTGCCTCTGCTCCCACTGTTGTGGCTCCGGTCATTAAAACCCCATCTCCTGCCTGTGTCCCAGCCCTCCAGGGCCTCCTGGGGCCTTTGTCTCACTTTCTAAGGCTGTGACAGGATCAGGCTGGGTGGGGGCCCCAGGAAGAGAGGGGGCCTGTGGCATACAAAGCCCCCGGCCCCTGGCCCCCCGCCCTTGCCTGCTGGTCCTTCCTGGGCAAAGAGTTTAATTTTGATTACTAGATATGGCAACTTTGTTTAGCTCCTCAGCTTCAGGCTTTCATCGAATGCCTAGTAGGTCAGTCTCCCCAAATTACAGGTAATGTGTCTGTGTCTCGCTTCCAGAGCAGGGGTCAGCCCCACGTTTTCCCACGCATTTTCAGCGATGTTGAAGGCCACACAGGCTTCTCTCTAACAACTACCAGTAGTTGTGCGAAAGTCGCTATGGACAATTTGTAAAAGAAGGGGTGTGGCTGTGTGCCAATAAAACTTTTTATTATAAAAACAGGTAATGGGTGGAGTTTGGCCCACAGGTCATAGCTTTGCTGACCTCCTGTTCTAGAGTTGCTACTGTAAAAAATAGGTTTATCTGTTGGGGAATTCCAGGAGTAAGAAAGACAAGCAAAAAAAGGAAAAAGAAAAGATGAAAGGAAAAAAGAGTATGTTTGGATCTTTAATCTACATAGAACTGGAGTCCATGAGGCATGGCAGGGTCCCTGTGACCTAGCGGGCAGGGTTCCTCAATGGTGCCCCCAAGGATCAGGGCTCTTGTTGTCCTCCCACCACACCATGACTCACTGTCTAGTTTAGATCATCACCTTAGTCTAAAAGTCTCTGATCAAATGGAGCACCTGGGAACAGCCCTCATCTCACCCGTGCGCTACAAGGCTCCACCTGATTGGGGCGGGGGGAAGGGTACCTGTTTGTCCCAGTGGCTGCGGTCACTGGTCGACCCGAGGACTGTCCCTTCAGTAGCGGGTCGAACTTGAGGTATTAAAGACTGCGTCCTCAAGGCGACTCCTTAAACTGGGGCAAAATAGTGCAGTTTAGCAGCTGCCACTGTTGTCCCAGAACCGTCCCCAGAGCCCTCGGGGTGAGCCCCACTAGGCAAAGGCGCTCTGGGAGGTCCAAACACACTACTGCTTCTGGTCGCCCACAAATTCTGCCCCACGTACCCTCCCCTGGCATCACAGCGTGTCCAGGTGTGTCTCAGGGGGCACCTGGTTGGAACTCTGCTAGGACTATAGGCCACCAGTTAAATGAGAAATTGCAGGAAAAGGGGGCCCTAGAGAGACTCAGGACCAGTCCTCAACATTTGGGCCTATTTGCAGTCAGGGACACAGTGAGCCTCCACAGTGAAGAGCCATCCATCCGGGCTGTTTGGGGGTGAGAGTGTGGGCTGTTGTGGGGACACGGCAGTGCAGGTGAGGCTGCCATCACAGTGCCCCAGACTACCCGAGGAAGTTCCAAACTGTTCCAGGTAATCTACCTCGCCCCCTGTGGCCTAGAACTGAGAGGGAGCAAGTCGCTGCTGCCGTCACTGTCCTGCCAACACCCAGGGCCCCCGAGGGCCACAGCTAGGTCTCCCATGGTGCTCAATAAGGGTGACCATGGTTCTCTAGTGGAATAAACACAGGGAACATTCCTGGCCACCAGGCCACGCAGCCTCCTCACCTGGGACCTGGAGCTGAGGGTCCTTTGCCTCCCGGTGAGATTTCTCACCTCAGCGCTGCTTACACTTGGAGCCTGACCACTCTCCGCGGTGGGGGTGTTGCCGGGCACTACAGGCTGCTAAGCAGCATCCCTGGCCTCTACCAACTCAATGCTAGTAGCACTCCTAGGCATGACAACCAATAGTCCCCTGGGGAACAAAATGCCCTAGTTGAGAACTACTGTTTAAAACTATCTTAGAAAAGTCTTTTTTTTTTTTTTCTGAGACAGAGTCTTGCTTGTTGACCAGGCTAGAGTGAGTGCCGTGGCATCAGCCTGGCTCACAGCAACCTCACACTCCTGGGCTCATGCAATCCTCCTGGCTCAGCCTCCCGAGTACCTGGGACTACAGGTATGCGCCACCATGCCCGGCTAAATTTTTTATATATATTGTTGGCCAATAATTCTTTCTCTTTATAGTAGAGACAGGT